CACCAACGGCGCCGTCGCGCATCTCCCTTGAGTTGTCCGTTTTCTTTCTTTCTTTTTACTCTCATGGAGTGACTGCTGAGGGCCCAACTTTAGAATCGTGCTTTTTGGGTTGGGTTGCTGGGTTGGGTCGGGTGCGTTGGGTTGGGTTGTATTGTTCCGCGTGAGGTTGGGTCGTCGGCGCGAAGGGTGAGGTCTCGACCGCCGCCGCTCACGCCAGCGGACGGCCACCATCGGTGTTTTTGGCTTCGCCACCGTCCAAGGCGTGCGCCATGCGCTCGCCGGCATCGAGCCAGCAACGTGATCGACCGAGCGGCTTGCTGTGCGGACGCCTTCTCGTCGACAAGGCCTGGTTGTTCGCGCACACGGAAGAAACCACGAACGCTCTCGTCGCCCGTCGCGCATAAATCATGGAGTGACTGCTCTAACTATTATTTATTACACGTCGCCCACCCCCTTGCGTCTGCCTCTTCCTATCTCTCTTCTCGTCCTCTCTCCTGACCCGTCATCCTCCGCCTATCATTCTCCTTCCTCGGTCGGTCGGTCGGCCTCGTTCTGCGACGACGCCGACGCCTGCCGGGACCTTGCTCTCGCGGCTTCTCTCACCTTTTGGCGTAGCTCCGCTCTCCTCGCAGCGTATCCCGGGTCCTCCAGTTTACAAAACGAAGAGGAAAATCTCTCTCGCAGTTTGTCGAACTACTCTCCTCGTTCCAAGAACCACACCCTTCTGACTCCACTCCGATCATGGCACCGATCATGTGTGCCCCCAATACACGTGCAGAGAGCTGAAAAACAATATGAAAAACCCAAGTACTCGCTCTCTTTTATGTCCCACCATGCAGAGCGCATCTCTCTCTCTCTGTTGTGCGAGGCGTGAACCGCGCCATTCGCTCTCACCTGGCAACCCTGTCTGCCGCCAGCGGACGGCCAGTCGGCCACCATCGGTGTTTTTGGCTTCGCCACCGTCCAAAGCGTGCGCCATGCGCTCGCCGACATCGAGCGAGCACGCCTGTCCGACGAGCGGCTTGCTGTGCGGACGCCTTCTTGTGGCTCTCGTCGAGAGCGTTTTGCGTCCCGGCGGGTGGGAGAATATGTGTCGTTCTGATGTGTCACTGTGTGCGTCACATCGATGTGGATAACAAGCACGGTCGATCCGTCGAAGCGATACACTCGTTCCTATCACGCTGGAAGGCTTGCACGGAGCTCTGTGTCAGCACACAGAAAGAGCCGTGCGGCAAGAAGAGCTCGATGGGGAGCGACCTGTACGCTTTGCGCGTGGCGACAGGTGGCTGTCTGGAGCTCGTGCGAGCTGGGCCGACGCCTGGCCCCGAGCTGAGAGGACCAGCGAGCGACCACCTTGGCGATGAAGCTTGGCGGCCGGCGCCTCGTCGCCAGACGTCACAGCGGCGTGGACGTAGGAGTGTGCGGCGACGGGTACCGGCAAATCCGGCCCGATGTGACTTCCTCACGCGAGCCGGAGCGACGCCTGGCCCTCCGAGAGACACTTCCCGGACACTTCCCAAAGATCTCCTGTAGCCCGGACGCCTGCGGACATTCCACCGGCACCCACCCCTCTCTAATCAGTCCCCTCCCCGTCCCTCCCCAGGCGGCGTTTGCGAGGACGTGTGTGGTGTCAGAGGCGCGCGACACTCGCTCCTCTTTCCCCTTCCTTCCGCCCCCCCTCACCGCGCGGGCAGGCGACCGAGACGAGAGAGGTGCGGTGCCGAAACGCCCGGTCCGGCAGGTGCGTCATGCCTTCGGGCAGCACCGCGTGCCCGTCGGTGACGACGACCTGCCAGCCGCCCACGTCCAAAGTCTCGGAGCCGGGCGGTGCCGCTCGGCGGCGGCGCAGAGTGCGCATTGTTCACCGTTATCCGTTTGTTTCCCTGGGCACACCTGCGCTGTTTGCGTGTGTGATGAGTGAGAGTGTGCTGCGCGGTGCGCGGGTTCCGGGGGCGGTTGTTCTCTCAAAATTACAAATATGGTTCACGATCAATTTCTCAAGCGCTCTTACGTCTAACTAAGTAACATACAGTGGAGCCCTGCCCGTGCCGTCGCGATCTCACTTCGTCGCTCGCGCACCGAGACACGCATGCCCCCGTCCCCCGCCACGCTCATGCAGCCCCCTCACGCGCCTGGCGCCTCGGCCATCTCGCGCTCGGCCCTCGCGTTGCTCTGTACGAGCGCAAGCCTAGTAGAGGCGATGCGGGCGTCAGGCGAGTAAAGTATCTCCGCTGGCAAGGCTGCCGTGGGGCATGGACTGCTGGAGTTGCTGAGGGACCTCCACAGCCCAAGTATCACAAGCGACGGGACAGAGAGGCGCTAGCAGAGAGGGCAGTGTGCGAGAGAGCCGGCCGCCTGGCCTCCGCCCTCGCCGTCGCCCAGTGCGCCGCCACGAGGTGGAGGATATATGCGCCGGCGCCGGCGCACAGGACGACCAATAGCACCACCTCACCGGCGGACAGGTGAGGGTGAGGCGCAAGGCGAGGGTGGCCGTACGTCGAGGATAGCAGGTCAGATTGGGCGAGATTGGGCGAGATTGGGCGAGATTGGGCGAGATTGGATGAACCTGCTTGGCCGACAGACGCGTGTACTCGACGCAGCGCGCACTGACGGAGCTCGCTGTGGGGCCGAGGGTAGGACGAGGAGTGATGAGTGAAAGGAATCCATGAAGCAATCTGAGCCGAGACGAGAGTCGTGCGGTGTGTGGCGCACCGTTCCCGATTGCGTCTCCGAGATAGTCGAGGCAGGACGATGTTCGACAGATGGCGTACCAGTCGCCGCACCCTGCCTCGGAGCAGACACCGGCCTGCTTGGCAGCGCAGACACCCGACGTGCAGCAGAGTGGACAGCTGTCATGCGCCTGCCAGCATGGGGTACGGTCGGACGGAGAGCTTGTTTGCTCTCTGGGCTACACGAGCTCAGCCTGCTCAACCGCTGCTTGCGTGCCAGGCTGACAAACATCCTGCGCGGATGCGCGAGCGTTATCGGGACCGGTTGGAG